TATTTCCAACAAAGGTTGGAAATAAAACAAATTTTGCCTTATTTCCCATTGCTTATTTATACTATTTGTAACAAAAACAGTTTACTGACACAAGGAAAAAGAACTTTATTTATTCCAAAAATACAATTAAACCAAGGCACATTGAACAGATAGTATCAGTATAGCAGCTGATTTGATTTTTTTCAAATTATTTGTTGTCGAAAAGTCAAATATTGTTAATTTCTTCTCACAAAAATTTTAAATTGTTAAAATCTATTTGCATGTGAAACCAACCTTTTTATACCCGAGCGCACTTGTGCACAAGGGTATATTAATTTTGTTCACATAACGGTTGTTTGTAACAGCCAAAACGAATCGAGATAGATATAGACAAATGTATACATAAATGATCAGGATGAAAAAAGAAATCGATTAAGCCATGTCTGTCTGTCCGTCCGTCTGTCCGTCCGTCCGTGTACACGATAACTCGAGCAAAAATTTAGATATCTCAATGAAATTTGGTATGTAGGTTTCCATTAATCCAAGGTAGGTAACTGTACTGTGCGAACTGTAACCACGCCCACTTCCCATATAACGGTAATTTCCAGAAGTGCGCAAACTGCGATATTTTAGTAACTACTCAAGATAATTCACTCAAAATTACAATAAGTTTTAGACGAAAAATAAGAATATTATAAATTTTTGGAAAATGGGCGTAGCCACGCCCACTTATGGTTACATGTGTATATCTTGGTAACCGCTGCACCAATTTCTTCCAAAATTGGCACAGTTGTTGGCCTTGGTACAGCATAATAAATGGCCGAAAATTTAAAAAATCGGACAATAACCACGCCCACATCCCATATAACGGTAATTTAGAGAATACAAAATCTTCGATAAATCAGTAAATATTAAAGCTAATTTATTCAAAATTAATGCTTGCAACAATTCTTTACCAAGAAATACGTTTATGGAAAATGGGCGTGGCACCGCCCACTTATGATATATGATAATATACGTATATATATCGGTAACCGTTCTACCAATTTGTACCAAACTCGGTATTTTTATTGTGCTTGCCACATAAAAGAAAAACGTTGAAAATTATTGAAATCGGAAATGCTTGAAACTGCAATATTTCGAAATTTAAGGACGCTAATTTACTCAACATTGATACACCCCGGCTTACCATCTAGCGGTAGGTATCGGAAAGGTGAAAAAGCATATATTTAATACTTGCGCCGGGTATTTAATGTTCGGCTCCGCCCGAACTTAGACTTTCTTACTTGTTCCATACAAAACCAGCGATTGAATAGCAACTTTTGGAACGCTCGCCCAACTCAGTAGCACAACCGCTGATTACTGGGCCTGGCACAGGATGGACAAATGCTTCGAGAAGCAAACCAATTTACTAAGAAAGTAAGTTACAACAGTAGTAATTTTTTCAATTTAAATTTTTTTTCTTTTTCGCATTTCGCATGGTACGCTTTGATGTAGAAGAAAAAAATCAGAACAGTTTTTGACACCTTCGATATAATCATATGAAGAAAGTAATATTCACAAAATATTTTTACTTATGAAAAGTCTAACAAAATATAGGGAAAGCATCGTCTTTAAAAACTGCTCGGCATATTGGACTGCTCGGCGCGTTTGTATGTTAAAAACACTGCTGGAAAACCTTTAAATGTTTGCATGGAACGATGTCGCAATAAATAGATGAAGTAATTAACCGGCTTTCTCGCTTAATTTACCGACATTCGGCTGCCTTATAGTCACATTTTATAGGCAAATTTTCAAATAACGCAGTGGCACCTGGTAAATTCCACTATGGGTGGGATGCATGCAATAATACCATACACAATAATTCCCATTACTTGGACATTAAAAAGCAGTTTCAGAAGTGAACTAGTGTTATTTTATTATTTTTCTTTTTTCTAAACGGTTATAATGCCACCAGTGCATAATTGCGAAAGGAGGGGAGGGGCGGGGGACGCGAGCGCGACGGCGTCCATTTAACTGTTCATGTACTACTTTTTGTCAAATGTAACTGGGTGACAGTGTTGCCGTTCTAGCCCTTTGGTGGCGAGATTTAGCTACCACATAAATTTAAAATTGCCCCTAGCCGTTTTTTTAGCCCTTTGGAGAATTTATTCATACTGGGCATGAAAAAGTTATATATGCTTAATTCGATCTATTTTTTTGCATTTATGTAAGAGATGCATTTTTATACGAAGAAAGACTGACATATATGTATTGTTTGTTCCTTACGTTTTTATACATACATACTATATAAGTGTTGGGCCTGTTTTTTAACTTATCTATTAACGATTTAACTATAGTTTAAAATAGATAAGTCTACGGCCCTTAGGGCCAGTTTTTCAGTGCCAGATTAAGTAATCTGGGTTTAAATTGAACAGCTGGCTTACACTTGATTGGCTGATCTTAGTTTAAACCAGCAGTATCGGGCGTTTAAACTTAGTTTGAACCACAGCCGTGCACTGAAAAACTGGCCCCTAATATGCTTCATAAGTTAAATGGCCCATCAAGTCGATTGACCGTGTATGTTCTTGTGGTGTGATTGTACCAGCTGCTGGTGCGACTTCAAAAACTATTTGAAAATTTTTTGATTGTTCCAGCATGAGCGTGAGTGGTGAAATTAGCTCAATTTTCTAAGTAAGTAAGTTTCAGAGCCGTGTTTGTGGAATATTAAGTTCACGATTTGCAGTTGTGAATTAAAAAAAAAAAAAACAATGTTTAACAAAATGGTAGAAAAATTATGAAATTTCGGCTCAAATCATTTCGATCTTTCCTCGACCTCATTTGTAAAGAAATAAATATTGTACCAGCATGCTGGTAAGTTATATGCGTCGAGCCTGATGGTACAATCACTTGATCGAGCCAGCATGCTGGTGTCTTATATTTTCCCTTTTATACGAAAAGGTCTTTGGTTGGATAAAATATTAGACTTTTTCCAGAGTTCATTCTTTTTCTATAGGCACCATTACTTATTGAAAATATTTGCGTGTATACTTTTATATGATTATGTAAGTAAACAATTTTAGCTACCATTTTTAGCCACAACGACTTTTTAAGCCCTTTTTTTAAAGGAATTTGGCTACCACTAAAAATGCTTCGCGGCAACACTGTGGGTGACTACCTACATATGTGCACTATTTTGCTTTATTACTCACATTGTTAGGTTTAAAAGTTGGTCTTATTGCTCAACGAGAAATGAAATAAAACAAATTTGTGTTATTTCACATTCAATTGGGAAATAACACAAATTTGCGTTATTGCCATTTGTGTTATTTCACCCACCAAGAATAGCAGGAGCGCCTAACGACATGCAACCTCTAGTTGTTTGCCCCTAATGCTGCCACATTTGACTGACGCTCGACTGCTTGCTTTTAATTTAGAGAAATTTGGCGTCGAAAATTGTGCGTACCGATTGTCAGAATTCCACTGCAGACATCCAATCGCCATGTTTGAAGTATCATTGGAAAGGTCTTGCAGAGTGTGCCCAGTTTATTCAAGATTCAGAAACGATATTAAATTCCATTAACTTGATTAGATAAAGGAAATATTACTATATTACAAGGTTAATATCGAGGTAAGACGAAAAGAACAGTTATCAGCTGTTAAAAAAATAAAATATTTAGTTAAATGAATTATGTATATAAAAATATGGGTATCAAACGAAATGGTTTTTAAAAGGCTTCATTTCTAAACTACATGTAGCAGGGTTTCCACCTGCCTACAAAATGAAGTGGAACTTCTCAGAATAAATGGGTTAAAGAAGGGCAGAGAACATTTTGAAGAGCGTTGCCAACTGTTTCAAAAATTTAGTTCAAAGAATTGAATAAGTTAAATGAATAAATATTTTATGACTATAAATCGAAATGGTTTTGAAAAAGTTTAAGTTTAAACTAAATTTAGGAAGGTTGCCACCTGTTTAAAAAGTGCAACTTAAGTATTAAGAATTAAGTAAGTGAATTGTGCATCATAATAGGGGTGTCAGACAAAAGGAATTTAAGAAGGCTGAAGTTTGAAAATATTTTGAAGACGGTTTCCACCGGTTTGAAAAGGAAATTAGGTAATTTATATATGCATCATAGGAAAGATCCTTAAGAAGGTTTCGGTTCGAAAATATTTTGAAAAAGGTTAAAAAAAGAAAATAGTGAAAATCTCCTTTGTGTCGGACTGAGTTAAATATGTTGGAGAAATTTCATACTCTAAGCGAGGCAGGTGAAGGAAAACTAGTAATATAAAAAAGTAGCTACACATAGTACATAAATGTTTTTCAAAACAACAATGCAACCTCATTGCATTAGATTATTTTATTTGCTTATTAAATAAAATTAGTCGGTCAAGTCGCAACCTTCACATCTTTTTTAATCGCTTCAAAAATTTGTATATATTAATTTTTTAGATAACCCCTAATATCTACATAAAGGGTTTCCCGGAAAGCTTACAAGCTTTTATTAGACTTGCGTTGTATGTATGTATGTAGGTAAGCTTGTTTGGGACAAATCTTGCCAACAATTTTTAGCCAATTTCCCGATGAGCTAGAGACTTGAACTTAGCTCAGAGCCCGATGACAATGCAGTATTAAATTAATCCCCTAGGTGGCCCGGAGTAGAGATGTTTGAAAAACTCGTATTTATAGTCCTATTTGGTTAATGTTTGAAGTACATACGTATTGCCTATATGAAAGGAAATTACTCCACAAAAAATGTAGCCGGTAGCTGACGCGGGGTCTATATATTTCGAAAACCTGTTGCTATGGTTTTATTTAGTTTATATTTGTAATATATATTACTCACATTAAAAGGGATAGCTACACAAAAAAAAATTGCCGGTAGGTGGCATAGCAGTCGAGAAAGCTTGTTTTAAAAGCATTTTTTTACTATTTACTTATTTTTATACAAGTTTGGCCACCTTAGTGTGTAATGTATTTAATATTTAACTTTTCATGATATTATAGATTGTTTTATTTACGAATATTTACTTTTCTGTTATAGATAACGAACACTTAGAAATTGATAAAAAAAAGCAACAGTTATATTGTCACAGCAACACATGAAAAAATAATATCACATCTGTAGACAAATCATTATCACACGACCATAAAGAATTTATATCAACGAAATGAGCTATTAGAAGGCAGTTTGAAGTCACATACTCCTCCGGAAACTACATATAAGCATCGGAACAAAAAATATGGGCATTTGCTTTTGACGCTACACAATCCCAAACGAGACAGAGTGAGGGAGAAGTGTGCGGGCTTCACAGTGAGCTGAGGCAGTTCGGAATAAAATGAAACAACATAAAAGACAATGACATTCCAGTTTGCTAATTTTAAATTCAAGACCTTATCTTATAATAAGATACGCAACAGTAAAAATCAATAAAAAGTCAAATTCCCAAACAAAGGCTTACCACATTGCAAAAAAAAAAGAAAACAGTTAACATCTCGATAACTGTTGGTGGCAATGCATGTAAATAAGCGCCAAAACTGCATCGATATAATAGACTTTTACAAATTAATTCAAGCGAGTTGAATGGCGATTGAATTCGTCCCAAGAAGCAGAATCAGTCAACAAAGTAAACCAACGTCGGGGGAAAGAAACCCTAAAACAAAAAAACCAGTAGCAGCTATGGGCAGCGTACATAATATAAGAATAATTCGTTTTCTGCTCGTGGTGAGCATTGTCGTCCTGACCATTTTCATCTATGCCTCATATTCATCAAATGCAACCCTCACACCAGCGCCACCACTTGCCATACGTGCTGCCACCGTATCTGATAGTGCCGGTGTCAGTGCGCAATTACAACAACTTACAGGAGCAAATCAAAGCAGATTTAGGAGCGATCCTGCAGTCTCATTTGGCGGTCGCATTGACAACAATGCCTTCGAGGGGAGCAATCACTTAGACGCGTCGTCACAGGGTAGTTCAACGCTACTGAAGTTGAATAAGAAGGCTGCTGTGTTACCTGGAACTGGCACAGGCATTGGGGCGGGGGCTGGCGCTGGCGCAGGAAAAGCTCTCTCCACTAGCACAGTAAAGAAACAGCATCAGCATCGCGAGCCAACTATCGATGTAGACGCGGTCAATGATGATACGCCCGATGATGATGAGATGGAACGTTTTGGCAATGAATTGCTCGAAGATGCAGAAGTGCAAAATATTGATAATACTTTGGGTGAGTTCAAAATTAAACAACATTCCTAGTTCGCGATCAGCCAAAAATTAAAAAAAAAAAATAAAAATTATTGGCGTCGCACAGTGTTTCGACTATATGGAGTCACGTAGAAAAAAGTCATGGTGACAGTTAAATAAAAACCAGTTAGGCTTAGAGAGGACAAAGTAAAAGTCACAAATACAAAATTTTACATAATTTACTCACCCCCGTCTCCACGAACGGACATTTCTAAAAAAAATACTGGAATCGGCAAGGTATCGACTAATCAGTTTAGTTGCCTTAAGCGCCATTGAATAAAGTGTTTTTTTTCAACTGTAATCAATTATTTATGCGCCGTGGAATATTCAGGTTATGGTATTATTTATTTGGTATTATCCTATTTTTTATCTAAAACTTTACTTTTATAATAAAAGAGAGAGACAAACTGAATTTCATCGAAATCGGATGAAATTTAATGTTTCCGCCCACGGAAGTGGAGGGCGAAGCAATTATTCCATCTGTACCAAATTTCGTAATTCCTTATTTCTAAAATAAAATTAGAGCGCAAGTCAAGTTTCAGTGAAATCGGTACAGATTTTCTATTATTTCCACCTGCCTCCATATAGTCATAACCAGGGAACGGATTTTATGGAAATTGCCTTATTTTCTGCTAAAGAGATAGAGTATATTCGATTAAGAATGTCCACGATTTAGCTTTCCCTGATTTCATATATACACATTTGATGTTGCCTTTTTTAAGATATTTGCCTTTTCTACCTTTAAAAACGTGATTATAGCATTTACAATTTTTTTTTTTAAGATTAAAAAATATACACATGCCCATGCGGCTTATAGAAGCGCAGGGACCTCTTTCCAAATTGGTGTTGGAAAAATTCAAAGCCATTTTCTCAGCTAACGTAGGCAACAAGGTGTGTGGATAAAAGTGTAAAGGGCGAAGAAAACGCCCTTATTCCTGATAATATGAACGTTTCAAACGTTCCATATTTAAATTGGGCTCCACTTGTATCAACTTACGTCGAGCCCACATTTAGTACATACAAGGCTTTTCGGAATGAAAATCCTGCAAAAAAAAATTCAAAATGCATCTTGTGGTTCAATGTTACTACAACTATACAGATTAGAGTTTTATGAGTTAGAAACTCGAAAGGATAAAATTGTCAAAGATTCAATGTACAAATGTTTCATATAATGAAACTTGTTCATAGTTTTTCTCTTTTTACTTGTAATATAATCATTTCTAAAATAAATGTATTTTTTGATTGTTCGTCGTATTTTCTGCCTTTTTTAGTGCCTTATTTTGCTTTCTACCTTCCTTTTATTAACTCGGGATGTAACTATGTAATATTGATGCGCCTAAAAGATGCAGCGATTTCTATTCTCAAGTTACATACCTGATGACAGTACGAATGGCAATTATAATAGGGAGGTTTTAGTTTTTTAAACTATAATTTTATTTTGCATACCTAGTACCTTTTCCTGCCTTTTTCGCTATTTTGTTTTCCCTTTTTTGCAATACCTAGTGCCTTTTCCTGCCCTTTTCGCTATTTTATTTTGCCTTTTCCAGCCTATTTCGTTATTTTATTTTGCCTTTTTTTATTCNAAATTGCCTTATTTTCTGCTAAAGAGATAGAGTATATTCGATTAAGAATGTCCACGATTTAGCTTTCCCTGATTTCATATATACACATTTGATGTTGCCTTTTTTAAGATATTTGCCTTTTCTACCTTTAAAAACGTGATTATAGCATTTACAATTTTTTTTTTTAAGATTAAAAAATATACACATGCCCATGCGGCTTATAGAAGCGCAGGGACCTCTTTCCAAATTGGTGTTGGAAAAATTCAAAGCCATTTTCTCAGCTAACGTAGGCAACAAGGTGTGTGGATAAAAGTGTAAAGGGCGAAGAAAACGCCCTTATTCCTGATAATATGAACGTTTCAAACGTTCCATATTTAAATTGGGCTCCACTTGTATCAACTTACGTCGAGCCCACATTTAGTACATACAAGGCTTTTCGGAATGAAAATCCTGCAAAAAAAAATTCAAAATGCATCTTGTGGTTCAATGTTACTACAACTATACAGATTAGAGTTTTATGAGTTAGAAACTCGAAAGGATAAAATTGTCAAAGATTCAATGTACAAATGTTTCATATAATGAAACTTGTTCATAGTTTTTCTCTTTTTACTTGTAATATAATCATTTCTAAAATAAATGTATTTTTTGATTGTTCGTCGTATTTTCTGCCTTTTTTAGTGCCTTATTTTGCTTTCTACCTTCCTTTTATTAACTCGGGATGTAACTATGTAATATTGATGCGCCTAAAAGATGCAGCGATTTCTATTCTCAAGTTACATACCTGATGACAGTACGAATGGCAATTATAATAGGGAGGTTTTAGTTTTTTAAACTATAATTTTATTTTGCATACCTAGTACCTTTTCCTGCCTTTTTCGCTATTTTGTTTTCCCTTTTTTGCAATACCTAGTGCCTTTTCCTGCCCTTTTCGCTATTTTATTTTGCCTTTTCCAGCCTATTTCGTTATTTTATTTTGCCTTTTTTTATTCCTTAACAGCGGTCGTCCCTCGGCAGGCAATGGCAAACCTGCGAGTGTATTTCTGCCATGAAAAACAGCTTCTCATAAAAATACAATCGCCGTTCGGAGTCGGCGTAAAACTGTAGGTCCCTCCGCTTTGTTTGACACCATCAAGGCGCACGCCACAAGTCGGAGGAGAAGCTCGGCCAAACACTAACATGTGTAAGCGCCAATCTATTATTATTATTATTAGGTCCTAAAAATCCGTTCCCTGGTCATAACACTGTGCATCGTTATAATAATGCTGAATGAATTTCTTATGTTAAGGTTAAGGTGATGGAAGTACAGTGGTCGTCCAGTATCACGAATCATATAATGTCTGGGTTCATACGCTATATCGAAAAGTACGTTGTATCGAATTCAAATTTTATTATAAGAATTCAATAAAATCAGTCTATATATTACACATTAGCCCCATATTCCAATTTTCCTTAATGTGTTTTTATTTTTTTTTATTTTTTGCCTAATAAATAACAAACGCTTACGCGACGGAGGTGTTTTTCCAGTTCAATAAACGCGACCACTTGTAAGAAGTTATTCTTTTGAACTGATCGTAATTCCACGTACGCAAAAGTCATGCAAAATCGTGTCATTCAAGCACACATAGTAAACAAGCGTTCGTTATATAGAAACAGAATAGAATAGATATAATTATATCAATACACTTAACAAGTAATTTTTAGCAAAAAAAAAACCGACTTAAAAACAAGTAATTTTTAGCAAAAAAACGACAAAAAAATATATATATATCTATATATTTCATGATTCAATGATCGGATCTAAATCGGTTGACGTGGTCCAAAGTTATGTGGTACATNCCATTTTCCAAAAATTTATAATATTCTTCTTTTTCGTCTAAAACTTATTGCAATTATCAATTTTGAGTGAAGTAGTTACTAAAATATCGCAGTTTTCGTATTTCTGGAAATTACCGTTATATGGGAAGTGGGCGTGGTTAAAGTCCGATTTCGCCCATTTTCAATACCAACCTACCTTGGATTAACGGAAACCTACATATCAAATTTCGTTGAGATATCGCAATTTTTGCTCGAGTTATCGTGTACACGGACGGACGGACAGACGGACAGACGGACGGACAGACAGACATGGCTTAATCGATTTCTCTATTTTTTCTGAGCATTTATGTATACATTTGTCTATATCTATCACGCCTCGTTTTGGCTATTACAAACAACCGTTATGTGAACAAAATTAATATACCCTTGTGCACAAGTGCGCTCGGGTATAAAAAAACTAGAGTGCGCATAATATTATATCAGAATTTATATCTGTTGGCCATGCCAACAATGCTTCATACTCAGATTTACTAGATAAATTCGCGTTCTCGAGAGAAAAGTTTTCATGATGCAAAAATCGGGTATAACTAGCGGAGACATTTTGAAATTTTTTTTAGTTTTTTTCCCTATATTTGTTGAAAATAGTGTACAAAGCAATTATAGGAAAAAACGATGAACTTTCAAAATTTTTAGAACAAATTTGCCCGCTATACTCAAATTTTGGGATCATGAAAACTTTTTTTCTCGAGAACACGAATTGAGCCAGTAAATCTGAGTATGAAGCTTTGTTTGCATGGCCAACAGCTAGATATCAAACCTGATATATGCGCACTCTAAGGAGGTTTTTTTGTGTTCCACAGTGTTACGAATCTCGAATCTCAATTTCGATTTTGAAATTTGAAATGAGAATTGATTCGGACAGACTTTTGAAAGAAAGTGATTTTAGAGATGGTAATATCGTTAAATGAGTTTTGTATAGTTATAGTCGAAAACGTTTTATTGCGAATCAAATTTTATTTTTATAATCTCTCACATACATATTAAAAAGCAGAAAACAAGACATGGTTTGAATAGTCAAATTGATAAGAAGTTATATCAATAATGAAGATTGGGCAGAAGTATTGAAAGTGTTAGTAAAGTTCGTCGTTATCTTCTGTGGAAGCTTCGAATACAGGTTACAGTAGTACTTGCGGCAGTTATCTTTGATTAATCACTTCCTCACTTAATTTTTCCTTTTCAATCATTATGTTGCTTACGAATAAACCGTTTTCAACCTTACAACTTTACAAATATATATACATATACATATATTGTATATCTAATATAAATAAGAATGGTTTCAGAAATGAAATTAAAAAATTCCCAACATGCGCTGGAAAAAACTTACATGGCCCGCTTTAAGCATGAATACATACCCTTGTGGTCAGCTGATTAAGTTAAGTGACATTTTGACCAGTTTTGCCTATTTTTCTTTTGTTTATTTTTATTATGTTTCAATTTTTTTTATAAAAGTCTGGCACATCACATACCAGCACTACATATATCAAATTTCACACATTTCAAATTTCTTACACAAATTATAAAAATTCAACAAACTTTAACAATT